AAAAGTTTTCAATGCTACTACCTACCAATGCCCTACAAATGTATCTTAATGAAAAAAATTACTTTCTCTTTCACTTCCCTCACCCTCAATCCTCAGTGTCTCACACGAAGTCTGAAGAACTGACTCTTCTGTACCATCTGCAGCTAATTCTTAGCAGATCATGACTGCAAGAATGCGTAGATGCAGCTTATTAGACTTCTGCCTGTAACTGTGGCTCAGCAGAGAGATGGCACCTCGTTACTTTTCACCCTCTGGCCATATTTTCCACCGTCCACTCCAGCAGTCCAAGTTCAACCAAGCTGTCATCATTAGCAGTCTCATGAATAGAAACAATCTTTCTAAGCTCAAGAACACATGATTTCCTGAACCATATCAGAGCAGGCACTCATCAAGAAAATAACCAAAAGCAAAAGCATTTTAAACAAACAAAAAAGAGCCACCCCAACACAGGAATCTATTATTATTTAGGTATGCAATAGCTTTTCCAGACAGTTTCTTTCTAGCCCCAAACGTGTGCATTTCCTCACAGTACGATGGTTCATGACCTCTATACAAACCTTCTATATGAAAAGTCACTGACGTGCCATGCAGAGAAGCAGGCACTTTAAGTCTGGTGGTAGAGTTGGGAGACCTCTAAGGCACGTGTGCTTTATGCTATACGATAATCTATTCAAGTAACAAGTCTTTGAACATTTGCAGTATGTCTACACGAAGACTAGTTAGACGTTAGCTGCCAATCCTTTTTAATGTATCTAATCCTGTTGTTCTCCAGGAAAACAAGGGCATGGGGTGGGGACGCCAACTGCCTTCAGTACCTGTATTACTGCAACCCCACCTTAGCCTCTCAGTACTTTCTTGCAAATAGACATCAGCACCCCTACAGATATTACATACATTTGAGTAGAGATTAAAACAGACTCTCCTCATTACAGCTTCTCCAGTTCAGAGCAGAGCAAGACTTTGGGAGACAAAATAAAGAACATGGCTTTCAGGCCCTGTCAGACATCTAAGCAACGTGACATTAGAGCCCATGCAGCCTGATTTTGGGAAGGAAGGATAGATAAATTGTCTTATTTGCCTCATGTGGCTTGTTTAAGTGAACTGGGGTGCAAACTATGAAATAAGTAGGCAAAGAAAGCAAGAAAAGGAGGCAGGGAAAGGTAAAGGTAGAAAGAAATATGAGGAGCCCAGGAAGGCAGGCAGACACGAGCCAATAGGGAAAGAAAGATCCTATATGAAGCTAACAAGAAAAAGCTTTGGGTTAGCTGAGTAAGCAAGCTAGACCTGACATCAAGCCCAGAAGGGAAGACCACACACAGCCTCAAAAGCTTAAGTATAAGACAAACTAGATAAAAAAAGATGACTAGAGAGGCACTTGAAAGGGAAGGTGCAAGCACAAAAAGGTACAAGAAACGAAGTACATGCCAACCCTTAGCACATACGCATTCATATCTGGAAACGGGACTCCAGATTTTGGCTCACCACTTGTTATTTGCCAGGTCATATTTATGGAAGAGATTCCACATCTGCAGGCAAAGGTAGCTTTCAGTGAGCCGTACGGGTTGATAGAGCTGGCAACTACAGCTAACGCTATGCATTAGCACCAGCATCTCCTGTGCACAGACCTATGTATACTTAGTACGGCTGGGACAGCCTAACTGCACCCTTCCTTCTTCTTTCAAGGAAAGAACAAAAAAAATCCAACAAAACAAAAGGAAAAAAAAAAAAAAAAAAAGAGAAAGAAAAAAAGAAAAGCCACAGAACTCATTTTTATCAGAACAAGCAAACCACACTGATCGAGTACCACTGGCCTCTAATATCCTTGCCTCAACTGCTCAGGAAACTGAAAGATGGGTCCTCAGTTAAATATATTTGTACAGCCTGAGATAACTTGTCATAGCTATGAAACTTTAATGAAATTGCTTAAGCCAGAATTTCTCTAGATGCCATTGTATACTACTGACTTTCTAGGTTTCAATTTGTCAAATATTCTGTAAAGTTATAAATGTATTTCCTCTGTGCTTTTAAGAACAGTACTACCAAAAAAATAGAGTTCACTTGATTGGGAAGGGAAAAGGTCCCATTACCTCCATAATTAGACGGAAAGCTACCTGACCGATTTTCCCCTCAGTAGGATGGGGTTAAGTATCTTCCCTTGCCTCGGTTGTGTTATGGAATTTCATCAACATGCAAGTGATACACAAACTTATAATGAATATCAAAAATCTTGCAGAGTAACACGTCACTGAACAACACAAAACATTCTCAATTGCTTAGTAAGTATCCTCAAAGTAGAATACACATGGAAGTAGCTGCTTAGATAGCACTTCTTTAAAGTTTTCTTCAGAAACACTAATTATGGTGTATCCATCGTTCAGGTGCTCAACTTATGTCTTTTTAATCACACTGTGTATTTAATTATCCATATCAAGTGTGGTGAGGAGAGGGAAGTTAGACTACCCTCTCTTGGTCCCACTTTCCATGGCAGCAGATTCTAATAGAGTATTTAAAGATTTAAATTACTAGCATCAAATCTTCCTGCTATTATCTTTAACAGACAAGCCAAGAGAGTGGAGTATACATCAGTACTTTGGATTTCAGGAAAATCTTAGACATATTTAACAGATCTTATGAATCACCCCTTTTTACATGACGCTGCAGTTTAAGATTTAGCTTGCCTTGAAGAAACTGAAAGATTTCTCTATTTTAACATGCTCAGAGTCCCTGGTTTGCATACTACCTAAGCCATGTTTCAAGTGGACTTTCCAAATGGATAAATTCAACTTTTAGGCTATAAACTTTGAAAGCCTGAAATACTCAAACAGCAAATACCGGCTCAGACACACCAAAGTGGCTATCCCATTCTACCTAAGAGACTCGGCTTGCTTACCAAACAGGTATGTGGCAAGCACAAAGGGAAAAAAGTTGTTATTCTTTTCCATTAGCTTAGGTACAGGATGAAGCATACATTTTAATTACCAAAACAAGAAGTAATGCATTTAAAGAAACAACCTCCATAAGCAGTTAGCATTCAATTGCCAATCCTAGTCAGAGAAAGAGGGAATAAGCATTTACAGTACAAACCACAGGAGGCAGATTTGACTGACTACAGCTGTCAAATGCAGACAAATCAAAATTGTGCTATGACTTCTGGCCTTCTATTAGGAAATACGGATGGATTTAACTTCAAACACTCCTCAGCGGTAGAGTTTGATAGTCTGAGGATGCAAATGCAAATTCACATTCTTATGAGTAAAAGCTGGACTGTTATAACACTCCAGTTCTAACTGCCAGATTTTTAGTATTTAAGGGTACCGTTGCTGTTTCATCACTTGCATCAACTATCCTTCCTATCTGTGAAGGATTAAAAATCAACAGGTCCTAAACTCTTCTGCTGGTGCCCTACAGTCTGATGCTTTGGAAGAACGCCCTCCCCACTCCTCCCAAAAAAGAAATAAAACCAAGAAAACAAAAAAGAAAATACACCTCAAAAACAACTGCACCATTGCTGTCAAACCAGACAGTTCACATGTAGAATATTGTTACCTCATGGCTAAGCTTAAAATGCTGTTCTTTTTAAAACGGGAGTTTAGCTGAAACAAGAGGTTGCTGAAGGCAAGCTACTCAAAGAATCAACCTGCTTTAGCTATGCTGTTCCACAAACTAAGTCCGTTTCTTCGGAGTTGGAGGGAGTTAACTTGCTACTTTTCTTAGCAAGTTAAACACATGATGCATTGTCATGTCAACAGAAGTCCTGCTGAACTACTACAGACTTAGTCACACATTCACAAGTTAAAAAAAAAAAAAAGCGGTGAGTAAGGTTACTTAAGAACCCATACGTGCTACTGCCCACTACTGCAGCAACAAACAAAAGGCCAAAGGTTGTTTCTCTCCTCTTCCTAGAACTAAAAAAAACCACAAAAAACCCACATAAAGCACTTGTATGCCTTTAGTGACCAACATCATGACCGACGATAATTAACGTTTCTGCCAACTACATTTTTCTCACAAGATCTCCCTGTTTAAGGTCTGTAGCTCGAGAACAATTTTCTTATCACAAAAGGAATATGACAGATGACATCAGATCACGCTGCCATAACTCAAAGATAGTAACTTTAAATATTGTTAGTAGCCTTATAAATACACTTACTTTTGCAATATGACTTCAAACATTGGTTTAAAGCAGACTAATTAAGCAGGTTCACACCACTAATCAACTTTTGCATGTTCGTAGACACTTTGGAAAATAAACAGTAATTACAGCATCATAGAAAGGGCCCCGAGACCAAACCTTTGATAGCTGTTCAAAACAATCCTAGAAATACATCATGGGAATTTAATTCCAACTGGATATATTTGAGCCAACTCATTTCCAGTTTAGCCATTAGCAACAAAAAAACCAAAAAAACCCAAACAAAAAAACATCATGTATGCGTGCAGAAGCATAAACATATGTGGCCTAATGCAAGTCTAATCAAAGGAACACAGAAACTGAAAAATACGAGCATTAAAGTAACACTATATTATGTAAACCTAAAGAAAATAGCAATTCATGCATTCATAAAAGAAAAGATACAAGTATAATCAACAACAACTCCTTTTTCTATGCCTTTGCTATTAAAATCCACTGTGATTATTCATGGTTCAGTCACATCAATACATCTAAAGAGAGTTTTCCACACTGCTTTACAGCTAAAGATACACGAAGGTAGCTACCACAAACTACAAACAGAAGAGTTTTAGGCTTAAAATCTGCGAACTTCATAACACACAAAGCACAAGGTATTAGTTTCTTCCATTCTTAAACCTACACATTTGGAAGGCCAAACTTACTGAAGTCCCATCTTCCTCCAAAACATACAACTGTCTTCTGAAAAGTACAAGACCACAGGTCTCTGAAACTACGCAAGTCATCCTAAAACATATTAAACTAGACCCTAGCTTTTCATCAAACGCACAGAAAAATTACTAACTCTGAATTACTGAAGACAAGTGCTTACCTTCAATCCTTTTTAAGGCCGACAGGCAAGTATCCCGGCTTGGAAATTCAAATGGATTATTACAGGTCCGAATGGTGTCACATTCGCATTTCCCGTTGATTATGTTACAACCTGTTATAAGGTTTTCATTGCATGGTTCAAATCCAAGAAGCTGATCATCATCCCAGTTTTCATCTAAAACAAACAAACAAACTCGCTCACTATTGGATTTCGGCTGCAGTATATAAATTCAGCTGCTTTGGAGTTCGGTGCAATTTACGTCAAGTTCAACATAGTGCTAAACAGAAGATAACAGATTAAAAAAAAAAAATAATGGATTAATCTGAACTGTGGGATTTGCCAAATAACATGTTTCGCAGCTGTTCTATTGCCCATTTTGCTACAGCTACTGGCACTGTTTACTTCCATCTGTATGAAAAACTATGATGTCTCAGGGAAATGCATAGCTATAGTACAAATGAGTGCTATTCTAACTGAAATAACTTTTACAGATACTTGAAGTTATATTTATCATGGAAGTGAGAATGTTGGACAGAATCTGCTGCCGTTATAGAAGTCAAAATTGAATCAGAAAGAGAGCATTTTTAAACCCGATTAAAAAATACATCACATAGAATTCACTCCACAGAGATACCTTTTTATTACAAAAATACTACAAGATGCCAGGCCTTTGATTCTGTAATATGACTAAACGTGAGTTTTCCAGCACCCCTGGATTACCATCCATACTCCAGGAGAATTGCTCAAGCACATCGTGCTCCCTGCTGTCAAGGGGCAGGGGGATAGTTGGGCCGGAACGAGTCTCTGCTCAAATAATTCTGCTCCTTTTGAATCAGTCCCTTCAAATGTGCGTAGCTCATAATCCCGCTGTACAACTGCCCATTTTCCTTTTAGGAGGCGGCTACACGCAACAAGATTTTTTTTCCCCCCCCTCCAGGAAGCGATAAATCCAGTCAATCCAGAATTCCACCAAGATTACCAGTCCTACAAAATCTCAGCTTCCTTAGGGCAAAGTGCACATACAGCAACACCCCACCGACCCAGAAGTTTAAGCAAGATACATGCTTTTTATGCAAGACTGAAGAAAATAAACTAGGCGTTAGGTATTCTTCGCTACAGAGTGCCAGATCATTTTCCAACCTTGCGTGTCTACCAAAACAAGTACTACACAAGAGTCACACAGATAGTCCACTGACTGCTAGTAATGACAAAAGGAACAAATATCTATTTTCAATCTTTACATCCTTATATTTCACAGCAGCTTTCACATTGTGCCTTCTAGTAGCTCACCCCAATTTTATATACTATCAACAAGCAAGTTTCCAATACAGACCCTGCCAAGTAACACTTCAAAAAAGTGAAGACATCTTCCAGCTACGAAGGGTGTGTTTTTCTGTTGTTGTTGGGGTTATCAGAAGCTGTCCTCCAGTATGGCAGGCCGCAGGCAGATATGAACTGTTTGTCGTTCAGTAGTATGACACTCAATAGAAGTCTAAAAACTGATGGTAAAAAACAGTATACACACACACACACTGAGGTTGACATGTAAGTACTGTCACTCAGAAACATGCAGAATATCCGCTAACCTGCAGTTTTTCCTGTTTTGGGGAAAAAACAATCAACACCCGGAAAGAGCTGTTTACCAGTTAAGTACCATACATGATCTACAGCAAGTGTCACAGCAGATTCTCACAGGTATGTTTCTCCCTGTACCACCAACTGCTTGCTTTCTGTTTTAAGTCGGCAAAGTACCCTGCTGACAAAAACCACTGAATAGACAACTAAGTCAATTTTAGACATGAAGAAGGGAACCTCCATGGGAGCCTCATGGATCTTCTACTCCATAAAAATAGCAAAGCAAGAGTAGTCATTAATCCCAGGAAGTAATTTGTCCTTTTTTTTTTCTTTTTTTTTTCTTTTTTTTTTTTTTTTTTAAGTTAAAGTTAACCTATCATCCCATACAGCAACTGTATCAATAAAAGTCAAAGGAAGTGTAGAAGTTCCTGAAGAGAAACTATTAACATTCTTTCAAGAGAAGATGTCACTTCATTAATGCTTGGGACACTTTCATCGTGAGGAGGCTATTCATGTGGGGGGGGAACCACAAAAAAAACCACAGGAGAATTTGGAGAACAATAATACATCCTGTTTTCGAGAAGCCGGAATACAGCCTGGACAATTTGTATTTTACAAATCGCAGCAGTAATCCACGTAATGACAAGAACAAAAGGGGCTATAGCTATGCTCCAAGATTTGGTGTTTCAAATTCTGTAACCGCAGGGACCACAGCTTCATCCAGATTGGTCTGTTTAATGGTCTTAAGAAAATGGTTTGAATTGCTCCTTGTTTCTGACACACAGGCTCTCCTCCCCTACCACTGTGTACAGGCCAGGAGCTTTGCCTGCCCCAGTGGCCGCGGGGCCCATGCGGCAGTGCACCTTGCCCCCGGCTCCTTCGAGCTGCTCTACCCACCAGCCTCCCGAGACCCGTACAGTGCAGACAGGTGGGGCACGCAGACAGCGATGACAGCACACTTTTGCTTTTCCAGCACACCAATTCAGAGCATCTGTGAGCTTTTGGCCTGTGGTATTTCAGCACTAGATCTTTTCAAGGCTGACAGAGAGATCAGCCGACTCCCTGCTGCTCACCCCACATAAGGTGGGACCCACCTGGCATGGAAAGCAGAGCCATCCCTTACTCACGACAGAATGCCTCGATGCAGATGCACCACACACTGTGGCACTACTCATAATATCATCTGACTTCCAGAATAGATTAATGTTTGATATCTCACCTGCCACCTCTCCTGACTTTTCAGATGGGAGCAGAAAAGGAGGTACACAGGAAGCGCATAGCTCAGTACTAGGTGCAACTGAAGTCTTCAGTGCCACACCCCTCAAAAATTTGCTCAGTAGCCATTAAGAGGATGGAAGAGAAGAGAAATCCCTCAGGAATACTTGCAGACTATATATCTAACATGCTGAATCTTGAAACAAGGTATTTTTCATCACTGTGCGTGAATACAAAAAAGTCACATTCAGACAGGAAGAATGCAAATCCAGTTCTAGCCTGGACATCTTTTACCAGCCTGCTTTTCACACAATTTCATTTAGAAACAAGATTTCCATCAATGAAGGAGCAAACATGTAACAAAAGCTTATTTCAGTATAGTAAATAAATGCAAAGTCTAGTGTGATCTTTCATGCAGACTTAAGACTCCTTTTCCTAGTTGATTTTGTCCTTTTATGAACAGAAGTTAAAGGCCCTGTTAAATGAATACTTGTTTACCACTTAGGGTAAACCCTCAGAAGTCACATCAGTATAGGCAGAACAAAATTCCTTGGAATCAAATGTACGACCACACAAAAGCACTCGCATGAGCTAAAGGGATGAACCCAGCGTCTCGCTTCGATTTAAAGCTTTAGTTACTTGATGCAAAGGCATCTAGTGCTCTGCTTGATGCAAATAAATGGTGGTCCACTACAGCATACTTGTTCCTTTTGAGGTCAGCAATATTTTAACTGATAATGGAAGTGTCTTGAACAAAGAAAGTCTAGGCTCTATGAAGCATATAACCTAGCCTCTATCACTCCCAAAACCATCATGTCCTGCAGACTATTCCAGAAAACATTTACACACCAGTGATTTGGAGACCTGGGACAGTCCATGAACAATTCCAGACTGTAGCACAAACATTTTTCTGCATGCTCTGTTTGACCTCCTCTGTGGATTCCTTTTCAGGAGAGTGCTCTTTCATGCATACCTCTCAGAAATCTGGATGATATGAAGGAAGAAACTGAGATATAATCATTTGTGAATGCTTTACTTCTCTGCAAGCAGGGTTGACAAAACCCAAATGTAAGAATCTAAGAGCCTCTCAAACCTCAGTATGTGCATCCTATCCACTAGCTGACCTCTAGAACACTTAAAAATACAAAAATCAAGTAGGTGTTTAACATTCTTAAGTTTTTAGAAACAATCCAGCTGAAGAGCAGCCCAAGCAAATTCTTAGTTTTCATCCAAATTGATCTTAGTTTAGCTGCAATTTCCACCATCTCATTGTGCTGGCATGATCAGGTAGGGGCAAAAAAAAGGGAAGGGCCACTCTTTTTAGCAGTCCTGAGTTGACATTAGACTGTTGTTATATAGCCACTCAACTACCTTTTGCACACACACCTAGAAGAGGTTCAAAAGCTCCCAGCAGGCCAGTAACTATAGCTTTAAAGTCACTCATTCAAATTATTTCTATCTACATGCAGCTCCCCACTCTTTCAAACTCATTCAGGCAAGTTCCCTTTTCAGACAATGAACTAGTTCTGCATGTACTCAGACCAAAGTTAAGTCTTGGACATAATACTTTTTTAAATTCTTCTAAGTGTGCTTTCATACCATAAGGAAGCCATGGGAGGGGAGGCATCATGTTAATTCCAACCTTTTTTCATTTTCTTCCATCACTCATATAATCACTTGCTTTCTGCAAAGCAAATGTTTCGGCTTGCTAACAATTCAAGTGCTGCTCTGGGTTGCTGAACTCCCAAGTCCTGTCATAGCATGCATCTAAAGTAGGGAAGAGGATTAAGGCATTAACAAGTTGAACAAGAGGTCCTTAAACAACAGGTCCAGTCTAGGAAACAGTCTGAGAAATATGTCTCTGGTAAGCAGCATTCCATCACTTCTTCCGTGCTAAGTCCTACATACCAGCACTCACAACACAGCACCACAGCACTGATGTGGTGTGATGCTCACGATTGAAGCAGGTATGTCTTCTTCACCTGAAGAGCTGCTTGTGTTTCCAGAAAAGCATGCAACTATGAGAAACTAACTTGGAGCCTTGTTTTTAAAGTACACAGTAGCTCACTATAGTTGCATTGATTGTCCCCACATGCAAAGAATCATCTCAAAACAGGTACAAGTTAAAAGTACAAGGAAAGACCTTTTCAGAGACTCATTCCCCGTTGCTTAAATTTTTGCTTTCCCTTCCTTCAAGTTCTCAATTCCTTCTTCCCGCCACAGAAACTTCTCTTTTGTGCCCCAACCCTTCTCTTCCTTTCTGGAAACATTTAATGAATATCAGCTATTGTTTGGAAAACCATATACTGTTCTCCTTCACTGTTTATAAGATAACACATCACCTCAAACTAGCAAGCAACACACTGGAATGGTCACTAAAGTATCACTGTTGAAAACTAGTATACAAGCATTGCACCCACAATAATCTTAAATTACAGTTCAGGGGTGGGGGGTAAACATAACTGGAGTGAATTGAGTGAACTCCCATAATTTACATTTAACTGCAGCATGTAAAAAGGCAGAAACAGCCGAGTAGAAGTGTGACAGACAGGTTCTCAGGATGCTGAAAGAGCAAAGAGACCATCAAATACATTACTGATCTGAAAGTGAAAAAGTCACATCTTACAGACTTTTGCATCCTTTTAAATCCTGCGTTTGAAGGAGGAGAGAGAACAGGTTTCACAGTGACACAGAAGTGATCCTTACTGAGACTGGTACTGCCCTCTGGGAAGGGGGGGAACCTTTCAGAACCCTCTCCTTTAAACCAGACCCAAGGTCTGAGCCCCGTCACTCTAGCACACTGGTATACACAACAGCATTTTCAAATCCGTGATATTCATTAAGATGGTATGAGACTCAAAGGATTCTACAGACTTTCTAAAATTAAAAAAGGAAATACTTCTTGCCAGTGGGCTTTGGCTTCTCTTTGAACAGGAAAAAAGAACGATGGAAAGGAAATTCATGTTTTGGAGGAGCTGAACAATAGAAATGACTAATCACCACTAAAGAATGCTTGAAACCCAGCCCCAGACCTTGAAAAGCAGCAGAAGGGAAGGCTAGCCTTGAAGTGAGTTTGAGCTCATGTACTGGCTGCAATCCTCTCCCCTCTCGCAACTTATTCCTTCAGTGAAGTCATGAATCGGGGACCAGAGCCGGCAGAAACTTTTATGGTGAGACACACACAGCTGAGAGTTTTATGATAAAGCAGTTTTTCCACCTTTTGGAAGGGTCCACTTTCCAAGATCAAATCTTCATGTGGAATGCACGTCAGTACAAAAGGGCTTTGCAGCCACCTGATAAAATTTCTAGTCAAAGCTAAAAAGCAAAACCATACCATAACATTTAGATACCTCAGGAACACCATACATGTAAGGCTTGTCTCAAATCTGACTGCCTGCTTTATCTTATTCAAACTAGAACGTGTATCTCAGGTGATCAAATCCCCAATACAGTGAGAAAGATTTTCACTGCAGTCGCTCTGTGTGTGTCTCAAGGCAGTTATTTCATACTAAGGAATGCAGAAAGTATTTAAACAAACCAGCTTTCCACTCAATTATCAGAAACTCCACAGAAGCCCTGAGGACAGCAAGGAGATAAATGGAAGCGTTAAGTGAAGCATGTGACGTGGACAACTATTTCAAGTTTTAAAGTTTTCCCTTGCCCATACTGTCTGCAATATTTCATTCTCCAGGTACCCCCCCCCCCCCCCTTCCCATCCCTTTCCCACCTCTTTCCTTTTTTCCTTTTTTGTCTTTTTTTTTGAGTGTTTTTTGGGGGGTTTGTTTGCTTGTTTTTTTAACACTTTCACTATTAGGGCTCCCCCCAACAAGACTGAACAGTATTTCCAATAGCCTTCTGCCCCAAAGATGGTCTGAAATGATAATTAATTAGTTTTGAAGTCTGACCCCTAGACATTTAAGGACCTGAAAAAAACACTTGCAAATAAGTTATTTTAATCTTATGACCAGAACCACATCTTGTTTGTAAATAGTTGACTGAAAATATTAGTGTCCCAGGGTTTAATTGGTCAGTCACAGCCTCTGCCAGTACTCCCCTGACTAGAATGAGCATGGACAGCAGCGTTTCAGCTGTCCTAGCAGCTTCTTCCTCTAGCTCTAGAAAACTCTTTAAAAAAAATTTGCTAAAGCCTCAGGAAAGGGCCAAACCTTCATACCCATTTTTGAAAGGAGGCTAAAATTCCAATTTTCCCCCCCCCCCAAGCTGCACACTGCACCCACACGCTGATTACATGCACGTAAATCAGCACACATCAGCTTCACTGCAAACAAGTAGCTGGCTAGCAGCTTGCTGAAGCTGCTCAGCAGAAGCAAAGCTGACAGGAGTAGGAAAAATTTTGCCTAAGACAAATTCTTGAACAGGGCTATGAATAAAGCAACCTACACCAAGAACAGTCCACACTATTAGAAGAAACACGATATCCTAAACCTTTTGCCACTTTCCCCCCCAAGTCATTAATGCAGCAACATTGACCACCAGAATTACAGGATGTTTCAGAGGGATTACACCCAATTTCTTACTCACAGAAGACTACAGGAAAAACTCTACACACCCCGAATTTAGAAATAGCATCAAGGCTTTTTTCTTTTTCTAAAACCTAACTTAGAGATAGACATCAACTTGAGTCTTTCTATTATCTAAGCAGCACATTTTATGTTAGCACATGTAATACCATTATCAGTATGACCCCAGCTTTTTATCAACAGCCCATCAGTGAGAGGAAGAAACACCTCCACATGCATACATCCAGCCTTTCTGAAAAAATTCCTGAACAGAGCACAACATAGGCTGTAGCAAAAACCTGCAGTTTAATTTGTTTCAAGGATAAGTGACCCAAGAGAATGGGCGCTCTCAGATTCAGAAGTGTTACACTTGCTAGATTTTTCACTAATAAAAAAACCAGAAACACCTGAAGCCTATCAGTATCAAGGAAGCTGGCTATATAAGGCTTAAAGTTTTGAAAAGGAGTAAGAACATGGGAATGGGTGCATGCCTGTGAGCCAGCACTTTTCCTCCTGTCGCAACCCTATGCTCTCCTGTTTGTTTTCTTATTGAAAGACTTACACACTCATGACCCACAAGGTGTTAACATGATTTGCAGATTCTGAAGTTAAGTACCCAGAACACCCAGTGAAAGCTGCTGAGGACTGAATATTGCCTCTGGTAAAGGTGTGAACTGCTTCCATTCATCCCAATACACTACTAAGGGCTTACTTCCTCCAAACATGGCCAAACTAGTCTGTTTAGACTAGAGCTCCCTCAGGGACCATCTTTTAATCTGTATGCTTATGTGGAATTTAATCTAGATAGCCTTTATACAAAGTTATCTTCACATCTTAGTTTATATTGGTAGGTTTCTCCACATATATAATCTTTCCATGTCAGTAGTAGTCATTTTCCAGGTTGCATGTATATATACATCAAAAGGCAGAGTTAAAATGTAATATTGTCAGACTATACAACTGGTGCCACGTGAAGTCTCAGGCAAAACCCTGAAATCACCATTTCCAAGCTTACGTTCTCTGTGGATTAAATGCATTCTTAAATGAAAGCAGTTTACAAGTCACAAGAGACATTTAATAGGTCACTTCTACAAAGTATTTAATCCATTAAAACAGAGAAACATTTGGTCCTGTCTGCAAGATGCTATAAACTTTATTCATTGAGATGAGGAATCCTTCAGGGGGGTGCAAAGAAAGGAGGGGAAAAGGAAGAGGCAGGCATTTTTGAACCATATTAATGGATGAATTATTGCATAATATGCCTGTCAGTCAAATGACATTTTGGTTGACTAAGTACTACACAATAAGTTAAATTACGCAAGTATTCTTGAATCAGCTAGAGGGTACTTAAAACAGCAAACGTGCCTAGAGGTGCAGAAATTACTATCTGACAAGTTTGAAGGTAGTTTTAAAAAAAAAGAAAAAAAAAAAACCAAAACAAAACACCTCTATAAGCAGCATGATTTTGGGGAACCTGATGAAATAACCATTTTCTACAGGGAAAAGTTCACATCAGCAAAGGATGCTTAACATACAGTCATACGAGATCAAATGGTTTAACAAAAAAAATAAAACAGGCTATTCCTCTTAACAGAGGTTAAGAGATTTAGCCATTCAGCCTATCTACAGTGAGATTTCTAGTTTTAAACTAACCGTGCCGATCCGCAACAGCAAAACCCTACCAATTCCTGCATCAATATCCCTCCTCATATCTGTTGGACTTTTCCATTTCATTTTTGTTGAAATATTGGAACCAAGTGATTTCTAAAAATCAAAACGTGATGCCCAGAAACAGGGAGGAAGCCATTTCCAAGTCAAATAAGCACCTGATCTAATTCAAATTCCATGCCACACTCAACGTTACACGTTGTTACTGACGTTGAGATTTCGGCATAGACAAAAGTCAGAGTAGAAACAGCTTATAAATTATCCCACCTGTGCTTAAGAAGTCAGTGTGTGCCTAGTAAGTGTTTTCTGGAGGGTGGGGGAAGGGGACTGTTAAATATAGCCAAGACTAGCATACCAGAAGCTGAACACTCACCATCAAAGAGTTACTTCTCATTCCAGTTTCACAAGTTCAGTAATTTTGGTGATAATTTTCTTTTTGACACCATCAATAATGTTTCCATTTTTCCCATTGTTGACAGTCTTCAAACCAAGTATTTTGACTGTCTTCATGCCAACAATCATTTGGTGCACCACATAATACTGATTAAGTCCCCAACTAGATCATCAGTTCTAACACTTGATGTTGGTGGGGGTAGTTCTCTGTACACACGTGGACATTAGAACTATTTGGACATTTCCCCAGCCATTCACTACGTAACAGAGTAAGAAAAAAAAAAAACAAACAAAAAGTTAAGAAATCTGGGCAGCACTGTTCCAGTCAAACAAATATAAACAACCAGATTACCCACATGCAACTTCTAAATCACTTGAACTTCAGTAACTCGTACTCAAAGCAAAATACTACCTGATCTTTAGGGGTCTGGAGCGCATCACAAGCAAGAAGCCAAGCATGTTGCATAGAAGTCTGTCTGGAGACAAAGCATCATGTTCTAGTCTTTGGGTCCACTGATCAATTAGATACAGAGCACAGGACCAAAACCAACTGAAAACAAGGTTCTGTAGCTAGTATCCTTGGGAGAAGTTACAAGCAGCAGCACTACTTGTAGTAAAAATACTAGCAAGTCTGTAAGCAAGTTGTTCTTACTTCAGAAAAGAACTCTATTAGCACATGTAAACCAAGGCCCCCCCCCCCCCAAAGCTTAGCTCTCTTCCTCCCAATTTTGAAAAAAGCTAAGTTTTCAAAATTTCATTTCTTCTCATCAGCTCCAGTTTCACTGCACTGTGGTTACATACAATATACTGCGCCCTTACATATCATACTCTATTACAGGTTTCTAGGGGATGACAGTTAGTTCACAGTAGGCTTAAATGTGAGGGGAACACCCAAGCTCTCCCTGCTTGTCCAAACAAGGAGTCAGACAGACAATAATGCTCCAAGCTCCCAAAAAGCTGCAGTTCAGTAGAAAAGACTAGGACTAGCCACAGCAGGGCAAGCTTCTATCATCATCCTAGAAAATTAACCCACATACTTCTTGATACTTGCCTAAAATCCAGTACAGCAGCTTTCTCCTGGTTCCAAAGGAACCCCAGTTCAGAAGCTACGCACTAGGCAGACAAACCTCAAGTACTCAAGACAAGCTTTAAATTAGCTACAGTAGGCAAAAAGAATACAGCAATAACTGTACCCCACCCCCCAAAAAAAAACCCCAAACCCCACCAAAACCAAAACAAAACCCCAAAACAAACAAAGTACTACGGGTTATTGGCAAGCTACTGGAGCAGACATACGTTCTTTCAACGGCTACCTAGAGGCTAACTCATATGGAAGTATATTCTTAAAAGAACCTAAGGACACAGTAAAACTAGCAGTTTCATTTCAAGTATATATCACAAAAACTTAAGTTATGTTTCTATTACACAGTTAAAAATAATATCAGCTCATTTTCAGCATTATTTCACATGCTACTGTTATGCCTCAGAAGAATTTAGTAAAGCAATCAAGGCCTCTTCATCTCAGAGCACCAGAAACCGGGGAAGTGTTGAAACAGAGGCAAGAAAAGAGTCATCACAAGAAATGCCTTCACAGAGTAACAGAACTTCTTTGGCAGAGCTTTTCCGAGGCTTTCCGATTCTCCAGAAGGCAGAAGCCCTGGCTTCTGTTAGCCAAGGCTAACATGTTTCTGGAGAACTCCAGTCTAATTAGGGGGTGGCTCTAGGTCTACCTTCAAAGGCAGAGAGCAAGTGCAGTCCCTGCTTTGAGCTCAGAATTTCTGAATGCTAAAAGTGTTTGGAAGGGGCTGTAGGCTCTCGACACCTCATTGAACCAATGCAGCAGCATCCCTGTAAAGCCAACAGAGAGGCTGGAAGTGTTTAAAGTCTCTCAGGATTGCCCTTCAGGAAAAGTACCCACCCGCAGCGGGGGAAGCTGACCTCAGAATTATTCTTTACCAAGAATACAACTACATTCAGGAAGGGCATTTACATACTTTAGGATAATGCCACAAAGGGAACCTTAGAACTGCATAAAGATGTGAATAGTTAAGGTGGTGAGATGAACGAGGACCTCCTTCAGGTTTTAGAAGGATAAAGAAAAGAACCCAGAATCAGCAACAGATTTCATTAACGAACACTGATTTAACAAAGACTAATCTATTTCTAGTTTCAGAAAGAGAGGCTACCAGTGACAGATGCCAGAGACTTCTCCATCAGGTGTTACAGAGTTAACTTATGCCGAGTGCGTTAAATGCTAAAACTAAGTTAAAAGACAAGTATTTTACCTGCTGCAATTCCAGCTCAAAGTTTTCTGTAGCCTAGTATGTGTTGATACTCTGAAATAAGACACTGCTGAAGCTTCAAAAATGATAAAAAAAATGCTTATAACTATAGCCAGTAGGGGTCATTTCAGTGTAAAAAATTGCACTGAAAGAAAAAGCTAGAGACAGGAAGGAAAGTAAAAACATCAATTTCTATTCACACAGTTCTGTAAGTCACTTCCATTTCTTCCTCCCTGAACTGGGGTAGGAAAGGGTTTGTACCCCCAGTAGACAGGATTAAAAAAAAAAAGAAAAAGTCGCCTTTATTCCATTAATGGATAAAGGCACGGCTTAGTACTACTCACACATCAGGCATCACCAGCCTAGCCTGTTGCACGTGTGCCTGTAAACTGCACAACTGTTTAGGTCACCATGATCAAAAAAATAGAGCTAATCAACCTCATTTAGGTGATCGGAGATAGTACATTAAGTCCCCTCTTCTCCTTGCTGCCACCCCTTTGTGCACAACGCACACCATGAAGAACAACAGATTACCTCTGTTGCTTAGAATGAGGCAGTTTCCTGACAATTCAGTAATAGGTATTCCAGGACTATTTATTAGGCTGACAGTTCAGCTCAGTTGCTTTTCATTTACAAGAATGAAAATTAAATAGATAAGTTATCTCCCCGACTATTCCTAAAGGGACAGCTGGAACTAGTTCCTAACCACAACACTAATTGAAATGCAATCTTGCCAACAAATGCTTCATACTATTTTCAACAGTAGATGGGACGTGTTAGGAGTTGAACTACAGCAACGTACAGATTGCATCACTTCAAAGGAATGAAATACTCCTAAACTGCCAGAGACGTCCGTACTGCGATACAGTAAGGGAGTTGGAACATTAAGGCATTTAATGACTGCAGGCTTTTAGTTCCTTTAAACACGGGGGGGGGGAAGGAGGGAAGCTGTTTAAGCCAAGCTTTTACTTGAAAACACGCGAAAAGAGAAACTCATCCAAAGCCAGGTAGGTTCCCTCTTTGCCTGTACTTTTCTATTTTAGAAAAGTTTTCCAATACATATTGAAAATAATAATAAGAGAGAGAGACTACAGCAGTGTACGTATTCAGCAACATGGCCTCAACCAAGGTCTTCAAAGTAGTTTAGGGCCATTTTTAATTGTTTAACAACAGAGCTTTTAACCCTGGAGCTGGTCCTACGCAAGCAACAACTGCAGAGGCTGATGGCATTGGTTCTAGTACAGGCAGGACACACCGCCCTGCTCTGGTTCGCAATGTATCTGTGAGGGAGGCAAATGGAGTTTTAAACTAATAACGAGCACCAGGACAAAGGTCAGCTGCCCACTAAAAATGACCGGGTTTAGCTCTCTCAAAACAGTGCA